CTTTTATATATTCAAATAACCACTTTTGTATATTCAAATGACTACTTTTATACATGTGAATATACAAAAGTGGTTATTTGAATATACAAAAGTTAATATCTGAATATACATTTTTGTATATTCAAATGATAACTTTTGTATATACTTTTTGTGCTTACGGCGGGCCATAGGTAAATACATTATTTCTTATATTTATATTAAAATTAGAAATGTAAAATCCATTTTATGAACATTTTTTTCACGTAATTAATAATAAAATTGTGTATAAATATTCAATTTTCAGAGTGAAAAAAATTTCAACTTTTTAACCAGAACAGCTAGAGTAATGTAAATACCAGAAATCGATCCTTTGACTTAAAATTTGTTTATCTTCAAAACATCAGAAAGATTCGATCAGTAGTTGTTGAGAAATCTACTTTTAAAATCAATGAATTTTGGTGAAATTCTTATAATTTTATATGTAGATCATCAAATTTTGCCGATTTTTAAAAGTAGATTTCTCAACAACTACTGATTGAATCTTTCTGAATTTTTGAAAATAAGCTAATTTTTAGTCAAGGAATCAATTTTTTATACCTATTTTACTCTATCTGCTTTGGTTAAAATGTTGAAATTATTTCTACTCTGAAAATTAAGTATTTATATACAATTTTAACATTAATCAAGCAAGAAAATGGTTCAAAATAAGTTTTTACACACTTAATTTTAAAATAAAAATAAAATTATTAATGAGAATATTTAATTTTATTTAATTTTTAGGTTGTCGGTCACTTTTTGTAACCCACTGTACGTCGTATAAGATAGTATGTCGTACACGTATAAGAATGATACATTTGCGTAACAGATAACGTTCACTCCTCTTCTATAAATAAAATAAAATAAAATAAAAAAAAATCACTTTTCTACTTCAAACATGGATATTATAACTAGTAATTGCAGAAATGTAAAAAATGTCGAAAATTTTACTTTTAAATACACACCAGTTTAAACTTGTAATATATGTCTCCATAATGCTGCTTTACAATATGAACAATCTAATCAATTTAATTCGGAACTTTTTAACACTAGAAGAAAACAGCTATTTGAATAGATTTTAGAAATTGCCGTGATACTAATGAATACTTAGAAAATGATTTAACTGGTATAGATTTTAATTGCAATATTTCAATTGATATGATCCAAAAAAAATTATCCAAGATGATCATTGATTTAATAGGTGAAAGTGACAGCTAGTACTGTATTATTATATTTATAAAGATTCTTATACTTCAGAAAAAGCATCTGATATTTTAACATTTCAGTATAAATGTTCTCAATGTAAATCTCTTGCAAAGAGACCTAGAAAAAATGAATCCATGATCGAATACCAATTGAGAGATTTAATTGCAATGGGTTAAATAAAATTAATAACATAATGAATTTAATGAATAATGATGAATCTACTCAATTTACAATTGTAAAATCAACAAGCGATCAAACAATGCAACTATTTAAAGATTACAAATTAATACTACATGAAGCAATTGAAGCATTAAGAATTGTAAAGGAACAAGAAAATATTGGTAATAAATGATGGGCACAAGCAATTCAAACAAGTTTCAAGGGCATTAAAAATTTAGTAACTGATATTAAGATATTGCCGTATAAGAATAATACTAATTATTCCATTCTTTTTTAAATATAGTTTTTCAGTAGATTCTTTTATTCTTTAGGGCACTAGTGATACTTTTCTATTAATTGTAAGATATGTGACTTGTTCTTTTTATTGAAATAATTTATTTTCCTTTTTTTATTGATCATGATTCTTTAGCTTGCTTTTTTTATTCAAAAGGATTAGCAAATTTCTACCAAATACTATTGATATCTTGTGCACATTATGTTTATTAAAACCAATTTCAGTTATCCAAGAAGCGTCTCTCACATTGTTAAAGAAAAATAATAATAAGGGAATAAAAAACGGGGTGATTCTTTAGTTCATAAAATTATATAAATTATAATTATGTTAATGAAGTACTATACAGTATAATTTCACATTAACAACTTTAACAATTTTGAACTTTTAAATGTTATACAATGCAAACAATGAATATTACGAGTGACATATTTAGTTTACCAATAGCAGGACCAGCATTAAGTAGTTTCTGAGACATTGCTAATAAATTATTAAAAGAATCAGGGGTTATAAGAAAGAATCCTTCATTTCGAATAAGATTTTACCATAATTAACTTTTACGTAAATGAACACCAAATCAAGTGACTATCATCTGAAGCAAAAACAGATGAGACACAGAAAATTGAGGCTGTACAACAGTACAAGTGGCTAATAACTTTTTTATTATCTTTTTTTTTTTTAAGCGTTAATTACTAAGACATAGTGAAAGAGGAGAGTACATTAATAAGCATCCAACTGCTACAACAATATACTAGTAACTATGGTACTATTAAAATAGTAGTATGTCGCGTATGAGTTCTCGCTACCAGATACTTAATATACAATAAGATAAAATATAATAATAGCCCTTCCCGGTCGACCACCATTTTCCGTTAGTAGATTATACCTTTTCATTGATCTAACACATTGACCACCTGTGATAAAAACTCTAAACGTCACCTCCTTAAACAACTACTCAAAGAAGCCATAATTTTCTAGTAACCCTAGTATACTAATAATCCTCTTCAAACAGTTCTCCAGGGTATTGCAAATAAACGATACGTAACTTCCTCGAAGTTTATTAACGCGGATCTTCCTTAAGAATGTGTGTAGGAAAAACTATATTACCAAATTGGGTGTGTAGTGTTACGCGATAAAATGCACATCCGATGTTCGACGTTATTCGATGTTTATATAACGATCCGATATAATTTGTGTCCATGTCGATTTCTATCATTACATAACGATTTATGACCGCAGGTTGTGTACATTAAATTAGCCATATAGATAATATTCTTTATTTTATCAATTTTATTATTATTTTTATTATTAGTTTTACATATGTAGCGATAGAATAATCATATATTACAATATTGTTTGTATTATTATTATATTATATTATTTATTGTCTATAATTGTAATTTAAAAGATTATTGATGTATGTTGATGTATAAGATCTATAATAAGAGTTAATGAAGGATAATTTGATTAATAATAATCAACTGATAGAATTTGTCATTCGTAACTTATCAAAAGGAGGGCTTATAATGGTTATTTTTATCACTATTATAGTAATTAGCCATATTACCATGAAACATATTCCGTTATGTGTTTAGAACCTATCGGTAGATTAGATTTTGATATGATAATAGATGGTGTTGGAAAAAGAGATGGAGAATAGATATAAATACCTTTCACCAACTCGTTGATAAAAGTAGAGAGGACCAAAGATTGTATTTTACCAGCTATAGTAGAAATCCTTTTCCCTATCACTTTTTATCATTTATTATCGCTTTGTTGTAAACCCTTAATCCTATCCCTTCATAACGTTATTAATAAAAACCATTATACATCGTATCGTTAATTATTGTTTCTGTGTGTTTTGATATATTATTCATTTATTACTCGACGTGTGTTATCATTATCGTATTTTGTAGGTATTTATCTTGACGATTCTTAACGAACAATACCGGATAAGTAGTATTGAGTAAGAATCCTGTTGATAACCTGGTGTTTATATGACTTATTTTAACCAACCGTCGACCTTTACTTGCCGATATATTTCGGTAACAGTAGCTTCTTATGTTTTTTTCTGTATATATAAATAATAAATTATAAATAGTAAACCTGTCCAAATAAATTAGTTTCTGACCAACTGGGTCTTGTGAATATCATAATGTTTTATTGTTTTGTCGTGTTATGCCAACTTTCCAATCATAATCATAATCATAGAAAAATAAATATTTTTTCATCCGGTATCAGCCAATCATACAGTTTTTTTTTAAGAATCTTTTTAGATAGATTTTTAAATTTTCCAGGTTCTCTTACGTGTAAATTTTGTTATACAAACCGCTATTAAGTCCAGTTCATCACGACGTCACATATCCGAGGCATTTGTATCAAATAATCACTATTGAAATTAAAGATTTTATCTGGTTCTCTTGGTAATTTAGCTAAGTCTATAATGTCCTTCAGAAACTCTTTATCGCAGGGTCCTATCGGTACACTAAATATAAAACATATATTGACCGGTAATAATGGTATCATACTAATTTTACTTCCTACTGATGAAATTCCCTTTTCCTTTTATCTAATTCTCTAGAAAGTCTATTTAAGTTTACTTCCTTTTCTTGACTATTTATTTTACACTATTTATTTAAAAATTTTCATTAAGCAATTCCGGCCGGAATTGAGTTTTTTATTTGGACAATTTTGTCCAATTTTCTGGTCAGTAAATTGATTGTGAGATCAGGTCATCAGGCCGATAGTACGTGTGTCACAGGTATTGTGATTTCAATCACAAATTAATCTAATAATTTAAATACAACCAATTACAACTTACGGCATAATTTCGTATTACACAGTGTTTTCATAATTTTGAGCCGTAATCCGTGTAATCTGAAATACTGTAATTACTACTTACGGCAACCAACATTTATACTTTTAATTAATTATAAAAATTTAGAGGTTATATCAAGAAATTTTGATTTTTTTGTAGGTTTTATGATGCAAGATAAAATTGCCAATGGTTATCGATGTAAAAATAAAAATACTTAATTCAGATAAATACTGTATGTCGTTTCGCTATAAACAACCATCCAACGTATCCTGTTTAATACAAATGTGTAAGTTCCAAATTTTGACCTTTATTTTAAGTGCTAGTTTTCCTTTTTATATAATTCCAGTAGATATTTATTATCTTTGTTTGTTAGAAACTGACTGGCGTTATAATAATTCCGGCCCTGAAAAAATGTGCACAACTAATAGTAAAATTTTTCTCGTCTGGATTGTCTTGGGTCCTACTTATTTCTTTTTTTTTTTTGTACTAAATAAAACTAATCCCGCATTATTATTACCACCTATGGAAATATGAATATAAAGTTGATCTTACTGTAAGTGTTCTTCCTCATGTAACCTTTTACAGTATAGAGGTAATGCAGATTTAAGCCAAAAACTAACTAAATTCGTCATATCATTTAATTTTTTTATTATTTCTTTGGTACAAAAATGAAGGATGCTTTACAATTAATTTAAAAATAGAATAGTACTTAGTATGCCAAGATTTTTGTTGATCGCAAGCTAGCTTTTTTCAGTTGATTAATTTTAAACAATAAATGAACTTTTTTTCTTTTCTACCAAAATAAAGTTATTAAATAGAGCATAATCATGTCAAAAACTTTAATATATTTTAAATTGTGGTTCTTACTTCAATTATTATTTGAAATAAATTGCCAAATGACACCTTATAAGCCAATTGTCTCAAGTCGTAATACTGCTACGCTTATCGATAACAAATTGTATATTTTAAGTGGATACGACGATTCAGGTTGGTAAAGAATTTTTTTACCTTGATTTATCCGTTCCATTTAATACTCAAAATTTATTATAGCATGATTTATCAAACATTAATATAATTCAATCAATCGTGGGTGCTACATCTGTTAATGGTGGTATTAATAATAATACACTAGTGTTCACCTGTTGTCTACGACAACAGTTAATATGTAATTCCGGCCAGAATTAAAAGATCTGCAAAGAATTTCCTTTTTTGGAAATTTGAGCAACACAATTTTTTGAAAAGTAACAGAAGACAAAATTTCCTTTTTTGGAAATTCGCGTAACCGACAATTTCCTTTTATGGAATACTTGTTTAACTCAAAATTTCAGTTTTTCGCCAGAAATAAAATTTCCTTTTTGGTCTTGTGTAACATTGGCGACGAATAGGAGTAGGGTTACACAATTCAAATGACTTATTTATATGGTTAATCTAAACATAACGCCCACGTGATTGCAGTGTTTTTAAATATATAGATAGATTAATTATGTATGGAGGAAGAAATTTGATCAACTGATGAAGTAAAAAAACTCTTTCCCCTTTTTTTATTTTGTTAGTTTTCCGCAGTAATTTCGCAAAGTTTTTTTTTAGTTTCTATTTGAAACGCTAAAGGGGACGAGGCCCAAGCGGGCACCTTGGTCTTATACAAGGTTTTTAGTTCTCATCTTATCCCACACTAAGGGACTATGTCAGCTCCAAACTACAACCAACCCAACTTTTCCGTGGCTCCATATGAACCTTCGAAACCTTATCCGCAGTTGGACGAACATTCTGATAGCAGACGAAAAATTCCTGAAGGCAGACTTGCTAAAGATAATGTTTCAGAGACGACTATTAAACCACAGGATAACACATTTCCGACCATCATAGTCAAAGCTCCTTTACTTCCACCGAAACTTTCGACCTTTTCTTTTTTGGTCTCTTTCGAAAAATTTTATGTGACCGCTACGTCTAAAGCAGGTTATAACAAGATCTACGAATGTAGGCGTTCAAAAAGTTTCTTTTTCGAGGTTGTCGATCAAATACCAGACACCAATGAAATTCACCTAAAGATATACACAAACGATCATCATATGTTATCTACTCCAATTCGGTATTATTCCACAAGCAAATTACCTAATCATCGATTTCAAATATCGAAGTGCCTCACGCACTTTTTTTTACATCAACGAGTTATTCCTCGGCGTATTCAAAATAAATTTTTTAACATGATACGACTCAAGTTGTTAGATAGACTCAATCTGATAGCATCACGTGAAAGAAAAATCACGTGTAGTAATAATATCACCAAAACCTTTTTCAACTTCTCTTACAAACGATACAGATTTTATTTTGGTATCTATGTAGCTTGTAACCATCTACCTACAACGAAGTCTCCTCATCAAAAAACAACACCATGCCGTACACCGTGCCCTTTTGTAAAAAATTTTAATCGACACGCTTGTAACCAACATCATTCGGCCATCGCTCAAATAATAAAAACTCCTTTAGAGGATAAGGCAGTAACAGCACCTAAGAATAACATCGTTCATCACAAAAGTTTTCACGCCAACATAATTTATAGGAAATATAACGATAACTCAAAGCAAAAGATTTTTTCGAATCGATTGGGCATTTCTTATACAACGCGTTATGAAGCGCACAACCTTGACTCAATTTTACCACCTTACAAGGCTATTGGTCCTATGTACACCAAGATTTACGAAAATTTCTCTCGTACGTTAAGTTCTAATCCACGTATAGCTGCACGGCAGAATGCTCGTTTTGACCGATCTTGTCGACGTGTTTTCAACAATAATAAACCTAAAACTGGGATGGCTCTTAAACTCTGACATAAGATTAAACTGGCGAATCAACGGAAATTCCTTTTCTATCGATATCAAAAGTTCAATAAACGGATTCCTCATTTAAAATTCAACATGGGATTATTTAAACGCTTCCCAACCGTTCCTTTATTCCGTTTCCCATACGATCAGAACTGTACTCTTCTACATCTACCTGATGATAGGATATTTCCTCCTCACATTTCTTCTGCATTACGCAGTGCCATCAAGGATCAGGACTCCGATGATGAGAATCATTCTTCCGTTAAGGATGGCCGGGATGATACACCTGAAAATTCTTATAAGGATTGGTATATCATGAATCTTATTGACGAACACTATGGTAAAGATGCATCGGAATACATAGATGCCGTGCTTTTATTACAAGACTCTACAATTCAGCTTTCCTTGAGAGACGCATATATGCTAGGTTTAGACGATGATCGCATCAGTGAGATCAAAGCTCGAGATCGCCTTAACGAACGGTCAAATGTCATTAAGGACATAAAAGATCATAACACCTCTGCCAAACATTATCTTAGGCGTACTAATGCTATGGAGTTTTTCACTCAAATGAACGATAATTTAGATGAACGTATGGCCAGTATTCGCAAATTCGCTTATGGAACGTCTAAAAAGACAAGCAGCGACAAACGAACAGTTGCATCAAAACGTCTTAGTACTTTGATAACAAATTTTGGACAAAAATACAAGGATGAACATTACCCCTTTAAACCATACCGCGCTATTATTCGCGCAAATGATATCCAATATATAAAAGATGATCTTGGTGAAACCTCCGATGACACGAAAATCATAGAACGTCGCCAAAAAAAGCGTCGCGCCAGACATAATCATTATAATAATTAAGGTGACCTCATACCTCTAACAAAAAAAATTTGTCTTTTCGATTGTAGGGATACCAAAGAAGAAGACTTCTTACCCTCTAATATAGATTTAATTTTTAAATTTCGTATTTGAAATAATTTAGTTTCTATATTATGTAATTCATTTTTTGAATTTGTCGGTTCGTATTAAGTTAGATATTAACAATTACAAATAGTGTGAATCATTCCACCTATGACAGTATTTACAGGTGGCGACCTTGATGGTTGAAAGAAAAATACGGGTTAATTAGTTCACTTTTTAATTGGTTCATTGGTTCCTTTCTGGTAGGGGAGGGGATCATCCTGGTTCGATGGATTTAAAGAAGTTCGGGTCCGTCCTCGGGGGGATGATAGCTAGAAGTAGGATAGCACGGTTACGTATATGTCCTGTTAATAGTCTGTCCGTCTTCACATAAAATAAATAAATAAATAAATGGAGGAAGAAATTTGACAAATATTGAAAATTTGGCTTTGGTTTATATGTTTGATACACAAAGTAACTCATGGAGTAAAATGGTTGAAGATAGTTATGTTAGTAGGAAGAGAAGTTTATCAGTTGTTGTCGATTACGATAGAAAAATGTATTTATTTGGTGGATGGTTAATAAATAATGAATATACGAATGATATGTTTATTTTAGATACAATAAATTTAAGTTGGAGTTCATTAAATGCAACCGTTCCAATGGTTAATTATGGCGCAACTCTATTACCTAATAAAAACATTATTTATATAGGTATGGTTATGTCGTTAGAATAAGTTTTTACTTTAAAACAAGAACACTATGAGCAATGCATAATTTTACCATTTTACGTGGTAAAGTCTACCAATCAAAACTGTATTGCTAATCATGGACTGTATGTATCCGTGATTACTTAACTTATTTTTGTATTATTAATTTATTATTATTATTTGAAAGAGAATAGTTTGTTTAAATAATAGCAAATTAATTAAATGATTCATTTTTGGATAGGTTTACTTGTACGATACTATTAATGATAAATGGAGTATAAAAGTAAGTCAAAATGTATTATCATTATCGTTATCATTATTGTTATTATAAATAATAAATAATAACTAATTGTTAACTAAAGAAAACTTCTGGGCCATCAATACCTTCGAAAAGATATGGTTTATCTGTCGTCCTCGGTATGTATTAAATAAAAACAAATAAATTGGTTGAATTCTAATTCTAATTAGATTATTATTTAATAGGGTTAGATGGTAAACAAGTAATAATTTTTGGAGGGAAAGAAAATACTATTATTAATCCTAAAAAATCATTATATAATTTAAATATAAACACTTTTGAATGGTCTATTCCCAATGTTTCTGGAGGAATCTCAAAAAGTCGATATTATCATAAAGCACATGTAATTGGAAAATATATGGTTATATCATTTGGTAAATATAATATTTTTATAACGTAAACTTGGATTCATTTTAACTAAAATTAATTTTAATAGGAATGGGTTATAACAAATCAATTGAAAGTGATATATTATTACTTGATATTAATAACAATAATGAATATAAATGGACGTCAATATTTGATCCTTCGACTCCTCCATCGCCATCTTCCCCATTTTTACCATCTTTACGACCATCTACTAATCCTAAAACTTTATCAAGAATTACACCAGCAGCTATGGCTGGTGCAATTATTGGAACTTTGTTTGACGTTATATTATTATCGTTTGGAAGTTATTTTTTATATAAATGGAATAAAAATAATCAAAATAAAAAACATATAACAAGAACAATTTTAATTCCTCATAGTTATAGTAATTGTTAACATCAAAGAGAAGAAACTGACTATAATTTAAATTTGAAATTCAAACAGATTACTAATAATAATAAAATTGTGACGCGTTCACAACTTCGCCAAAATAATTACAAGTCACATGACTTATTTAACATGGGTCGACATTTATGGAACCAAAGCAGAAACTTTTTAATTGTTACATAATTACATAAATCCAGTTAAAAGTAAAGAAAAGAATATTAATTTCGATTAATTTGGGCCGGAGTTATAACTTGACAAATTTTAAATCTTAATTCCACACCGTCACGGCTATTGTATTAAAGTTTCAAAGTTCAAGAATTTTCTGAAATCAGGCAAATAAAAGGAAAATTATAATCCCGTATTGTTACTATTACTAATTATGAGAATATAAATAAAATAATTGTGCAATTACTAATCTTAATTCCTTATGCCAGACATATATAGTATGGAGCCATGAAATAGTGTGATTTAAACCAAATTCGTAATATCATTTAATTTCTCTGACTTACAACATTGATTTGTGAAAATTATTAATTTAAAAATAGAAAAGTACAAGAATTTGTTTCTTTGTTTTAATACTATTTATTGATCACAAGATTTCGATTGACTAGATTTTTTCAAACCAATCATAAATATTGTAATATTCCGTAATATTACTATACTATGAATTTAATTTACAATGTTGCTGAAACAATTTTTGATTTTGTGTTTCACTATCTGCTGCTTATGTAAATTTTTTTCTTTCAATACGGCAAGATGTTTTTATAAGTAAAATAAATGAACATTTTATCCTTTCGATCACATTAGAGTTAATAAATAGAATATAATTATGCCAAAAGGTTATTTAGTTTATTTTATCATATTATGGATCTTACTACTACTTCAAGTATTAATTGAAACAAATTGTCAAATGACGCACTTTTCTCAAGTCGTAATACTGCTATACTTATCGATAATAAATTGTATATTTTGGGTGGATACGATTCAAATGTAAATCCTGTTGGTAAAGAATTTTTTTACCTTAATTTATCTGTTACATTTAATACTCAAAATTTATTATGGAATGATTTATCAAGCATTAATATAAATTTTGTAAAAGGAAATAAGGTCATTTTATATATTTTATTGTTGTACAAAATTATCATGAAGTCATGATTATGTGATAGTATATTTGTATATTTTGTATACGAAAATTTCTTTAATTACTGATCAATCTATTTATATTTGTCAATAATTGTCATCGCGCGTAACATTTTACACTCTCATTGATTGTGTATTATTATATTAAACTTATACAATTTATTTATTTTAAATATTATCTTTTATACAGAATACAGGACGTGTTTCTTCATTAAAATCAACATCATGAAATGATCCAATTAGAATTCATCAATTTGTCGATATCTTCGTACGAGTCATCAGTTTTAAATCTGAAAATTTTATTTAGCTTTTCTAAGTCTAGTTCCATTTTCCATCTGGTGACACAACTAGTGTCGGTAAAAATTTCTCTGTCCGTCACTCTCTACCCTGATGTCTCGCAGTATCTGAAGGGCGTCTACTCCTGAAAAATCTGACAAGGACGCGGATGAAAGGGCGATCCTTAAGTATTTCCTAAGGAGAGATGATCGGGCTCATCATTGGGTGAGACTTTTCTTTCGTCGATAATAATTCCAGAATATTTTTTTTATAGTTTATTTTCATGATTTTTAGCATGCTACTCAATTTTACTCGTGGATTTGAATTTTATCAATTCTGTGATCAACTATCCTGGCGTATTATCACGTGATATTATTAAAAATATTTATTTTGCAAGTCGCCGTTGCAAAAAACTAGTATTTAAGCGATTATTTATTTGAATACTTCAAATAGTCAATGTTATGGACGGCTAATTAGAAATCAAGGTATAAAACTACATTGTAACATATTTGTTTAAGACAAAATTATTCAACAAAGTTTGTACTTAAATTTTCAAAAAAAAAAATGAAATTCTTTAAAGCTCGTCTGTAATATTCCAATTGTTGGATGCGAAGTCGTTCAGCTGCGCTCTCTTTATCAGCAGCAAGTCTGAGTTCTAACCTATACATATATGTAAACTATTCACGGTATCCAGGGACAATAAACGAACCATATAGGATCAGGAGGTATAATATCTCGATATTTGTGAGGAATAAACATGTCCGGTATCGGATGATAAGGAGCAACTGTATATGGAGTAACTGAGGAAGATGAAGTATTACCAGGAGTCTGCTCTTGGAGAGATCCTGTCGTCAGAAGGATTAAAACGTACTACTTCATTTAGTACATAAAAAGGAATAAGAAAACGATATCTATCCGCATCAGGAGCGATGCCTGAATGATGGTATTTCAGATGTTTCACCGGCTTGTTAATATACTGCGACGGTAAAAAATAAAAGACGAAATCTTTTAGCAGTAGCTAGTTTATCAGATAAATCGTGGACCTTTCCAGGTTGTGGTCACATAAACGTTCAAATCTTTTTTCTTGTTTCTTTTTGGTACGTAAATTAGCGTTATATGTAATTTATCTATATATAAGTATAAATTTTTACATCATTAGACTCATATCACATGATGAGAAAAATAATATAAAAGAGGACAAAACCTGATGGTTTCATGTTAAATTTTTTTTTTTTTTTGATATTAAGGTTCTTAATATCAAGGTTAAGGTTCTTAATATATTCCTGGCCTTAATATCTATAACTTGTCTGAAAAAAATATTCCAAGAAAGATTAGGTATGTATGGCAAGTATGAAGGGGTGGTGCGCGCTGCAGGGTTTACGACCGGGCCCAGAGGGTACAGCCTGAACGGAATCTTATTTAGTTATTTTTTATAACTAACCATATTTTTTTTGAATTTTGTAGGGCATGCTCAAGGAGAAATGTAAATTACTTTGAATATGTTAGAGAAGCACCTAAATATTTGTTCATAAAATATAATAAATTAACATAATAAAATGTCTTGGTTAGTTGGGCTCTATTATCATTTTTTCTAATAATTTAAATTTGGCGATTCCTCTTTATACATCCTTTACAACCTCATTTTTTTATATGACATGTTAAGAAAATATTCGTAAAAAGAAAGGAGCTGTGTGTCGATCAGATCGATAAAAGTTTATAATGGTGATTCTAGGGTCGTCCAGTTTTTACTTTGTTTTTAATCAAAACAATTGTATATAGGTATCAATTCACAACTTATTCTACTAGTTTGGTTTTTCGTCTTATCAAACATTTTCAACACCTGAATTTTTGCAAAATGAATCATTGGTTTCGACCATTATTATGATTATGCCGATGATGATAGGAGCAAATGCATATTTTATCCCAACTTAATATGACATTTCAACTAGAGATAGTATTAATATTCTCATAATAATTTGTCATTCCTAATGTTTAATAATTTGTAAAATTAAAACAGGGCTAAAAATACGGTTTTTCTTTTATTAGGAATAACACGAAAAATGGGCGATCACGTACACGAAGATTATTTAGTGGTGCTAGTTGATTGATCTCATCCTTTTCTTTATAAATTAAAAAAAAATCTATATTAAGTTTTATGAATAATTGGACAATTTCAATAAGTTATAATATGGTTTAATGTACGATATAAAGGAAACTTTCATGCTATATATATGATAAATGAAATAATTTAATATCAACCGTGACTTGCTTTCTCTCGTTTTAACCTAGTTACAAAGGCGTATGTTGCAGGCCAAAGAGCTGCGATTATTAAAAAGATTATATTACTATGTAAAATGTAAGTGTAAAACACCCAACTGGATAATATAATAAAAAAATGTATACTGGGGACTGGATTGTACGTAATTCCTTACCCGGTTAATTTGCCCCTGTTAAGATTAGCAACACTCATTTAAATATAATTATTGCTGAAAAAAAAAAAATTTATTAAAATTAGATTAATTGCAATATATACTAATTATTTATATATATATAATATAAACATAAATCTCATTTTAAAATTGAACAATTTCATATGATCACGTGTAAATATCACACGTTTGAATAATTTCAGCTGGCATTATAACTTTGCCTGCATTAACCAAATAGGATTTTATAATTCCAGTATCGAGAAAAGACACGTAAACAGTTTGATGCAATATATATTAGTCAATAGTCAATAAAAGAAGATAAAAACAATAATAGAAGTATAATGATAATACAATTGAATCAAAGATAATTTACTTACAAAGAAAATTATTCATCCATATCATGTAGATAGCAAATATTCCTCGTTGTCAGCCAGTTAATTCAATAAGCCCACTTATAATAAAAATTCATCATTAATTTAATTTAATCATTTACCATATATTTTAAAATAGGGATACAAATACAATACCTCATCGTTTTTTGATCTCCAAAATCTCCAAAGTAATTATGCAATGTGCATTCTTTCTTTTCCTTTTAAAATTACTATATTATTTGTATTTACATATAACGAATTAAACATCTTTTGTTTAGTACAATAGAAAATTTTATCAACAGAAAATATACACCTAAAAATTAAAATATATATATATATATATTAATAACTTTAAATAAATAATTGTTTCATGAGCGTGGTGCGCTTTGCAAAATGATTCGGAAATAAAAATTTATCTAATTTCCTATGTCTCAAATTTTCATAAGTTGGTTCTTTAAGATTTCTTTCTTATCTTGAGGATGTAAAATAATCCATTTATATGGAATATTTCCTAGCGAAAATCTTAAAATTTTGAATTCATTATTAATGATGATGATAATATTATCGTTTATAAAAAAAAAAATAAATTCTTATCACTAGATTTTCGTCATTGCTAGATAAATATTTTCCTGTAACTGCATGTTTTAAGAACCATAATCTATATTATTCATATTTTCTAAAACACTTTCACTAAAATATCCAATCAAATCTTTCATAGAATTAATTTTATCTTAATAAAATTATAATGAGCGGATCTTTTTTAAGAATAATTCTTTTTTGTTCGTCTCAATTATTTCTCCTTCATAACAAATTGACGAAATTGATTTAAAGATGTTAAGATGCAAGATTCAAGATTCATTAGAAATAAAATCAAATTCTGAAATTTGAAATCGTTTTTTTAACAGAATTTTTAAATAAAATGAAGTAATATTAATGAACAATTAACAATTTCATCTAAATTTGTTCCAAAGATTTTTAATAGAAGAATGAATCTTAGATTTACAAATTTCTATAAATTCTTCGTTTTTAATAATTCTAATTTCATATAACTTCATTTAATCATACTTCAAGACGTTTGTATATATCATACATTTCAGGTTCCATCGTTGATTACTAGCGGTCCTATAGGTATAGGTGCCGTCAGAATTGCTGAATTGAAATTACGGCATTACGAAATATGGATTTTACCATTTAAATATTTAAACAAAACATCAAGATCAGCATTATAGACTTACGGATTACTAAGCTTTCTTTGTGTAATTTTTGCATATTTGGCATTAAATAATTACGGCATTATGGCGATTTAATATATTACGGTATAAGCTTTCGTGCCGTAATTAATTCCGACGGTAAGTATACGAAATATTTACGACTGATAGAATAATCGTCTTATCAGTTATCATATGATACATAAGACTTTACGTACTACGCCGCTTGTACCGCAAAATTATATCTTATTGTATTTCTTTAATTTTATTTATAAAGAATGTGGAAAATATTTAAAATAATAACAAAAAAAAATGAAACTTTTAATTTTTAGTATAAAAATTGTCATAGTATGTTTTCAAACCGGTTAAAAAAATTTTTTTTTTATTGAATAGTCCCATAAACTTAAAATCAGTTCACACTGTGTTATGATTTTCAATTAACTATTAAGTGTTGTATAACATATTTAACTAGGTGAAATAAGTTCGTGTGTGACACAATTCCTCTAATATATTCCTCGCTTCCTTCATTTTCATTCTCATACATAATGTCATCAATCTTTTCGTCTTTTTTGCTACTAGTATGTTTGATTTTGGATGCATCTGCAAATCATGTAATTGAGTTTCATCAGCATCCTTGTGCGCTGAAACGAGTACGGGTCTAGAATATCTCTCAACAGAGTTTTTAATTATAAATATGATAAATGAAAATAAGTTTATACAATTTATCAAATACATCATCCTGTAGTGGGTCTGTCCATTTGTCATGTAAGTAACCTCTACAAAAAAGAGATGTCCAGAAATTTGCAGTAGAAACGTCCGGAAAATGTCTAAAACGTCCAGAAAATGTATGATCTTCATTTTGCGTTAATTCTAGTGCTCCTACCGGGTCAAGTCGGGTCGGGTTTTGAGGAAATATTCGACCCGATCTGAATAAAAAAATATAAGACTCGTATTTATTCGGGTCTCATATTTTCGTAACCTGACCCTTGACTCGACCGAGTATAATTTAACTCGTGTAACCCGGGTTAGACCCGAACATTTAAGTAAAATGGGTACTAACTTATTTTATGTGAGATTTTCTTATAATAATAACAAAATTAATTTTTTTTTATTTGAAAAAAAGGCAACTTAGTGATTAATCACTAGTAGCCACCTAAAATTTGTATCATGAATGGTTATACAAAACATGTAACACTAGCTCTTATTTTCTCCTAGATTAATTAAATAAAATAAAATTAAAAATACAAATTTTGAACCTGGTTTAATATAATAAAAGTCAAAGAATTAGGCAAAATAATTAGAAGATATTCAAATCAAAGATAAATTGGAATTCTAAAGCTATCAGAAAAATATTATTCTCAAAAGCCAAAGGTTAATTTTTTTATTTTTCTGATTAAGCTATGTTAATATTTGTTAAAACTAATTCTTGGCTTAATTTTGGCCAAAATTATAATTTTGCCAGAATTAAAAACATCCGGGTTGATCCGAGTCAAACCCGGGTCAAACCTGAGTCAAGGAAATTTATAACCCGACCTGACGGGTTGGGTCATGCGGGTCATGCAGGTCACGGGTCATTAAAAATCGTTAGTACCGACCCGATTTAAAAGTCGAGTCGGGTCAAATTAACTCAGGTCAACTCGTATCATTCGGAGCACTAGTTAATTCTTAGTCTTTTATGCCTCATTTTCCCCATTCCTATGAAAATATAGCAGTTAAAAATTATAAACTCTCTAATGGAAAATAACCTTACATAATACAAGTCTTGTACAACCAAATTATGAGAGATTTGGTATGTCCAGATAATATATCAAATTTTGTTGTTGAATAAAAACTTACGCATTTATGAATAGAATGCAATCCAATCTTCTGCAAATTTAGAGTAAAAATCCAAAATTCCTTTTTCATAGGGTAATTTTTATTAAAATTTTTTGAGCCCAACCATTACATATGAATATGAATCAAAAAATCTTTCCTCATGGCCTTGATGATATATACTTTTCCCAAACTTTAAGCTTGTTTTCTAAAAGTATGTTCTGCAAAGATAACCTTTTTTAATTATTATATTAGTTTGGAAGAAAACAAACATTTGAAACAATATAAAAGTAATTAACTGATAAAAAAGTTGGAAAAAAGGATAGTAAACTAACTTTTAAATGTGTCACAAGTGTGTACCTCGTCATGTTGGCATTTCATAACTGAAAAGGTATCATCTTGACGAAAATTTTCTACTATTATAAAGTTTATGACATTTTGTACATGGAATAAAGCAGATAAAGAAAGTAGAGCAAGAAGAAATTAAGAAAGTTTTTGCTTTAAGAAAAATAAATTTTAACTATAAAATTTATGGAATAGCTATTAAAATAGAATGGAAATTATGAAGTATTTTTTTATAGTTGTACGACATATATAGGTAATAACTTTAATCCATCATTATTTCTAATTGTTATGGAAGACTAACTTCTATCAAAATCTTTCAGTTCAGACTTCACATATAGGTTGATTTATAATTTTTAACAAGAGTAAATGTTTACAATCTGTGTTTTCCAATCTTTGAGGGAATAATCAGATCTGAGAAATTATTTTGAATCAAACTTTATTTTGATTTCATGATTATTTGCGCGCTCAAGGCATTTTTGATTTTAAAGAAAAAATAGAGTGATTTAATAAAAAAGATAGAATGATTGGATGGATATTTAATAGTGGAAAAATGAAGATAGGCTCTATATATTTATAAACAAGAATTTATTCCATTCCCAATTACTGTACATGTGCATCTAACATTCCTTCATATTTGACCAGTTCTTCACAGTCCATAGTTTTTAGTAAAAATAGATTCAATAATCAATTTTTTTTTGTTTGGAGTACTAATTATTCATTAGTATTATGTTTATAGAAACAAATGAAGTTCTCTCATCTTAATAATAAAAATTATCCAGTTCTTATAACAAAACACCAACCAATTCTTTCATTTTATTTTGTTCTTTAATAGTATTTTAATGGCTTACTCATCAGCTATAGATCGGTTAATGTTGACAAGCTATATCTAAAAATTTTAAGTCCCAGAAATACTCTACTTCCTTTTTGTCTTTTATTAAATTCACCAGTTGAAAGATATATTAATAAACTGGAGTCAACATTTATGCACCTAAACGTTTATCAAGTTCATCTACAGCTATTTGACCACTCTCTAGTGTAAATCACCTGATAATTAAATAGACTTAAATCGAGATGATGCATCTTGAAAATTACTATATCGTTGGGAATCCCTTTGCAATCATTTCACATCTAGTCGAGATTATGTAAAGTTATGTACTTGATTAAATTTCAAACTAAATCTGAGCAAATGATAGTTGTTAACTATCATCTTTTGGCATTAAACCACCAATTTGATGATATAGAGCACCCTGAATTCTGAAAGTGTAAACCCATCTCGTTTACAAGATTTTCATCAATATTTGCATCCAAAGATGTGAATGCAAGAATTAAATGAACTTAAATGAACTATGTAAATCGAATCAAGTTAAATATAGTTTTTAGATAATCAATATTGATCATTTTCTAAAAAAAATTAGAAATTAATAAATTAGTAACATAAAATAATTAGAAGAATAACAGAAATTTATTATAATATATAAACTTACAAATTGTATTCATTTCTGCCAAATCTCGTACAAAATCTTGAATTATGATCCCATATTGGATGTATTCTTCAATATTGTGATCATCATCAAACTCTTCAATATCATCATTTTGAACCAGTTTTTAACTATATTATATTCTAACTTGTACCTTAATCTCTATTTTCTTTTTTCTTTTAATATTACTTATTTAAATATAGGATGTATAAATTTCACACTCAATTGACTGTTGCATTTGCTGTCTCAGTCTAAAGACGGGGACACCATTACTTATGAGTTCGTAACTATTTGCTCAAACGATTTGATAAGTACTGCGTTGGAATGGAGTTAAAATAGGACCTCCCATTTGATGTAATTGGAAACCTGAAGGAATGTTTACGTGTTTTCTTCATCTTCTTCCTCTTGCCCTGTTGCCTTAATTTTCATTCTAACATCCTTACAACAAACATGGTAAGAATAAAAGAGGAAGAAATGTTAGTATCATGTTTTTAAAGAAAAAAAAAATAAGTTTCGCAACGAAACTTATAAAACTTAAAAGTATGAATGAGAACATCCGACTTAAAAAGATTCCAAAATATAAAAAATACCTTTTAGTTTTTTTTTCTTACAAACTTTTTTTAAAAAAAATTACTACTAAAGATTTACGAAGCAATCACTTTTATCCGATTATTAATTGTTATGGTAATATAATTTTGTCTTTAATCATTATTAACCAATTTTATTTAACAAGAAATCATAAGATAATTGCATGTGATGTGATACGAAGTTGCATTCAAGTTTATAATTACAGTATATGATCAATGGCGTATTTCGACTCAATTTAGACTTCAATATTTTTAACTAATTCCGATTTACAATATCTAGATGCAGATCCGTCTCCTGATTAAGTGGCGTGACTCAAACGTGATAACTAACATCCAAAACTAAACTATCTAGAAATTTTAAAATTTAAGTTTATTCGGATAACAAAAATTTAATGCTTAAAATATTCTTAAATCTTCACATTCTTCACATTTTTTCATCTTTCTTCACATTCAATTCGTTATCCAATTACCGCAAATCGCAACTTTCATGAATTTATTATGTCCAGTTCGTCATTTGCCAAATAATTCATGGGTTCTTTTTTATACTAAATTTTGATGATAATAATTTTTGGCTTATTTCGAACATCGACACTCTTATAAGATGAATAATCGATAATGAATTTTATTAATTTATTAATTTGATTAATATTTATTTTATTATATTATACGAAATAACATGGATCTACCTTACCGGTTTTCAATGTGAAATTTCCTACACAATCTTGTTATTAAGGAGGTATACCAAAGTAAACATGATAATAAACCAGTATAAAGTATGAGGAATTACTATTTATATCTCACCAAACGGGGAGAAGGACGTTAAAACCTGTTGTTAGATAAAAATCTCACGCCATTTAAATAGTCACCAGACCAATACTACTTTACTACTTTATTATTATATGAATTCTACCGTTAACTTCACAAAATCAAATTTAGAGAATAAAACGATAAAATTATTTTGCACAATTTTTAAACTACTACAACAATTTCATTATAATAAATATATACAGTATTGTCACAGATTTTCACAATACATAATTGTGAAATTCCTTAATAAGGTAAAACGGAGTTCGGAATTAGTTCGGAGATCGAAATGAGTAAAATTAACTTTTTTTGATTAAATAATAAAAGAATACTTTTATAACATATACAATTATTATGTATGATCGTCAAAGCTATTATTCATTGTCGAAATAAATACCCTTACATCAATGGGTAAATACAATCATTTGACAATATTATTATTCTTGAACAACAAGTACAATAAATTTGATTCTCTGAATTCATTTATGAGAAAATTGGGGATACTCAAAAATAAATATATAAATAAATATATAAATAAAAATATAAATAAAAAATAAATATGGTTTATAATTAACTCAATTTTTTTAAAAAATTTTACGTAAAAAGTTTCTTTTTTTATTCAAGATGAAAGAATTAAATATAATTAGAGATTCTGATGGAACTTTCTTTTTTATTTTTCCTCAAATTAAAGGAGTTTTTAAATGAAATCAATCTTATATATAAAAGGGATTAATAAGACTATCAATAAAATAATTTTTTTTCTATAAAAAGTAATCGATCAAAATTACGCAAAGAAGGTTGCTGATCAGACAGAATTTTCTATTTAAATATTATTAATAAGCAAATGACATGCAAAATGTAAGTATATATATATATAAATATGTTTGTTAATTTAAAAATTCATATTCTCAATCGTTCTGTTTGAAAATAAAAATAAAAATAATATATTATAAAATTATTATTATTATTGAAACCTTTTTTACCCCTTACTCTTTTTCTCATACTTGGGAATTTCAAATGCGTAATTTAACAAAACTTAATTGGATCACGTGATATTTTGATTGACTAATCAAAGATCGATATTGCGAATGATTAAAGAAGATTCCATCATTATCCACCATAGATAAAACTTAAATCTTCAAACCAAAAAAGAATTTTTTTAAATAAAAATTTTTTTTTTTTTTAAATTACAAATATTAAATTTTTAAAAATATTAAATTAAAAATGTTAATTAGTAAAATTAAAATTGGGACATCCCGAAAATAACTAAAATAGGTAAAGTATTGGGCGTCTAAATAATATTTTTTTTTTATTCTCGTTATTTTTATCAAAAAAAAAAAAAATTTTAAAAATAAATAAAAATTATTTGTAAAAAAAATTTTCTCTATTGAACAAAAATTTCATGTGTTCTAATTTTGGCCTTTAAGCGCAATACTCGGGGAAAATTTCAAACAAATTACTAATGACCCTACCTCGGGGTCCTCCGAAAAAGTACTTATAAACATTAAAATGGTTTGGACTTTCATGTAACAGTGTAACAAATTTTTTAGATCTAATAATGGTTAGATCATTGATCACAAAGATATATGATAATACTAACAATACTTTGCAAATATAAACGCTAACTGAAAGTAAAAAAAAAAAAAAAAAAAAAAATTTTTTTTTTTTTTTTCAAAAAATAATAAACAAAAAAAAAATCAATAATATTTCGAATGGGAAATATTTTATTTATTTATTTTTTAAAAAGAAAGAAAATTATAATTTAATCATGACAAAGAATTTCTTAACATATTTTTTATTATGGATTCTAATTCAATTATTAATTAGAGGAAATTGTCAATCATATTATATATTTTTTCCAATGAAAAGACATGATCATACTGCTACAATTATCGATAATAAATTATATATTTTAGGAGGAAGCGGATATAATGGTGACCATGAATTTTTCTATCTCGATGTTTCAAAGAAATTTAATACTAAAAATTTATTATGGAAAGATTTATCGTATAATAATATTGTTCCTTCACATTATGGCGCAACATCAGTCGTAGGTGGTGTAAATAATAATACTTTGTTCTTATATGGAGTTTATAATAGTGCAATGGCTTTGGTTTATACATTCGATCCAAAATATAATAAATGGGACAATCCACAAATAATTGGTGATAATACTATTAGAAAGCAATTTTTGACTGGAGTTATAGCTAACAATGGGAAAATGTATTTATTTGGTAAAACTTTACCAAATGGGTTAGTATTTAATGATTATTCAATAGATATGGATATGCTTATTTTAGATACGATAAATTTAAATTGGGAAAAAGGAAGCTTATTTAATGCTCCTACTGGAAGAGGTGATTATGGTGCTACCTTATTACCCAATCAAATTATCCTTTATATTGGTAAGTAATTCAATTCTTTATAATTTTATCATCAAATTCTTTTTTTAAATTCCATATATATATATATTATTTAGGTCGTTTTGACATTGAAGGAGAATCGGCATTCCGTAGGGTAAATTTATAATATATATATATATTTTATATCATTTATTATGTTATATTAGTTTATATTATACATACATACCATTCATATATACATACATATTAATTAATTTAGATATATCTATATGATACAATTCATAATAGCTGGAGCAAAAAGGTAAAGCCAATTTAAATTAAATTAGATATAAAATTTATTATTTACTATTTAACATTTATTTATATAGTTAACTTCAGGAGATATAGTCCCTTCAAATAGAGATTTTTTTTCTGTCGTTCTTGGTTAGTATTAAAATATACTATATTATATTATATTATTTATTCATTTCTTATTTCTTATTTTTTTTATTTTTAATAGGTTTGGATGGTAATAGTGTGATAATGTTTGGGGGAAGAGGAAAAACAAATCTTCCCAAGACAGATGCACTTTATGTATTAAATACAATAAATTTTAATTGGTATATTCCAAAGGTTACTGGAGATATTCCAAGATCTAGATTTTGGCATAAAGCAAATGTAATGGACAATTATATGCTTATATCATTTGGTAATTATCCAATTTTTTTTATCAATCAATCATTATATTTATTAATCTATTGTGTTCCTAACAAATTAATTTTTAATAGGTTGCTGTTATAATCGACAAGATGAAAGTGATATTTTATTACTTGATATTAGTGATAATAAAGAATTCAAATGGGTAACTGAAAATTAATGAAATATATATATATATATATCAACTCCTGAAAAATGAAGATTATAAAATTTCTTTTGTAAAAAAATAAAAAATGTATATTAATTATAAAAATATAACTAAAAATTCAAATCAAGTTAATATCTAAGATATCAAATAATGAAATTCTCCAAGCTTAGACATTGTAATCAAACAAAACTCTCGATTATATTATTACATATTCAAAATCAAAAACAATATAAAATATTATATACCATTGTAGCCAATCATAATCTAGCTAGAATATGCAATTTTACCTGATAGTATATTTTCAAAATAGGACAGTTTATTTCTCAAGCGAAAATTAAATTTTATCATTTAATGAATTTATTAAACCGCGTTTGTCATACCACTTGTATATGGGTTCAAGTATTAGTTATTGTACCACTCATTCCATGTAAATACTATTATACGAAGTCTTATTTTAGACAAATTAATGTACGGCGATATGATAAATTTTTTTTTCAACGCATCGTGTAACTTTGAGAATGTATCCAAAACTATAAATGAACATGATGATTATCAAGTTTTTTTTTACGCCCTGATTTTTTAATTTTTTAATTTCACATTGTATTGTGATACAATACCACAATTAGAAATGAAATGCCATTCTGGTGTATGTTTTTATCGACCATTTTGGTAAGATATTTTTTTTTTTTACAACAAACATATATTTGAGGGGAAATAATAATTTTTCGCACTTATTGATTTAAGGTTTACGGATTGATGATAATAATGTAACGATAAAAGCTTAATCATTTTTATGACGTATATATTATAATTTGTTCACGTGGATTAATTAAACTTTCTTTTAATGAAAGTGAATGACTTCGGAAATTTAACTGGTAGATTTTCTAGATGTAACATAATAAATTTCTTGGCATCGCTTATCAGATTCTCACGCTTTGGCATGTGGCTATTATAACTTGCAGCATTAAATATTAACTATGCATAGTATAATTAATAATACTATTTATTACCTATATTTATAATTTTATATAATATTAATTTAGGTCCAAATAATCGAAAATGGTTGAATATAATGCGCTATATCACGTTGGAAGAACTCTATTTTGGTTAGTAGTATTTGCATGGATTAATATACGATTAATTTAAGCTATTTATTGGTTATGTCAAATACTGCAAGTTTCTCTTTCAATATTTCTTTCTTTTTTCTTTCCTTTTTAAAATATTTAGGTTGCCCTCTCGTAAGTTTATCTCAACTAAAATTGTTGCTTGCAATGATGTGATTTTAAGGGTTTTACTGGTGCTGGTCGTCTCTTTGATTAAATCATCAAGTAACTTTTCAGCTCTTTACATCTTTTTTTATTCTGTGTTAGTTGGGCTTTATAGTAGTTAAATAATCATTAAACAGGTAACAATCTACTTTTTGCATGATGGTTTACTTTTCAATCGAAATTACATAATATTTAGACTTTCATCATTAGTGCTACCATTCCATATGACGATGGATTGCTTTGGCAATCGTGGACTCGGTTGACTTATTATCGTACATATGTAATTTATTATTATTTATTTCTCCGTTTTTTATAGGTATTTTACATAATTCAGACTGGTAGATTTCGACGCCCGGTTATTTTGGATGTTTGATAATTATGCACATTCAGAATTAAAAACTAATTAAACATCGCACAAAGTATGATTTTTGCAATGATGGGCAAGATCGTTAGATAGGAAAATCAAACAAGTATTTTATTATCACCTATATATATATATTCTTTAAAATGGAGAAGCGTTAACGATCGGTTTTTAATCAGGATTAATATGAATTATATGAATTGTAAAAGGCGAGTAATTTAATAAACTTTGAATTGCAATAAAAGTATCTTACATAATTTAATAATTTATTATAATTTATTTATTACATTTTTTTTTACATTATTATTTTTATAAATTTCTCATTGAAATTGAAACAGTACTCAACGTTTGATTTGATGAGAGTCATTAACAGTTAATAGTAGTAATTCCCTATCGCACTCATGATTACCTCCGTACTGATTTTTTATGATTAGCTGAGTTTATAAATGACTGGGAATCTTCGTTTACTTATTTCCCGGCCTCATATAGATAGCCGGGAGATTACTAATTTTAGTTTAAAATAGGTAAGTTTAAAATAGTTAATATTTAATGAGTGACACGTTACCCATTTATTTCATGGGGAGTTTAGAATAATAGGGTTTTTTCCCGAAAACCCTAATGTTCCCCTTCACATGAAATAATCTCACTCATGATTACCTTCATACTAATTTTTGAAAATTGCGAGTGATTAGTAGCTGAGTTTATACTTATTTCCTGGATAGCCGGGAAATTTCTAATTTATAGTTAAAAAATAAAGATAGTTGATCACGTTAAATTTAATGAGTGACACGCTCCACATTTATTTCCTTAACCCCTAACCGAAAAAAAAAAAATCCTTTTTTTTTTTACAAATAAACCTTTTCCACGAAATTAATCCATGAAATTTTTTTCTTTTATATACACTATACAATATCGGTTTATTGTCAACTAATTAATTTAGAGCTACATGTCGTATCATAAAGATTTCATATTGAGGGTTGAAGGCCTCTTTATCATCGTTATATTAAATTGTCATCATGTTGTCCAAATTCTTTAAAAAGTGTTTCAAATAATCGTCTCTCGTACATTAACCTTTTTTTTTTTAAAAAAAAAAACAAAAAAAAACAAAATTTACGTTAAAAAATAATAAAATCAACTATTTTTATCTATAGAAAAAAAAAAAAGAATATTTCTATTTTAACTAATCTTTAATAGTGTTTGGTGGGTTTTAGCTGTGTGTAACATTTTCCAATCGGCCAAATTTGATTTAGAATGTCAGGAGGATAAAAAAAAACAATTTTTTTTTGTTTCTTTATTATTATTTCCTCGAACTTATAAATGAATGATTTAATCGAAAAAAAAAGAATCGCTTAAATATTTAAGAGAAAATTTTATTTTTATTTTTTTAATAAAATTTTTTCATTATTCATTATTAATACTCATAAAAAAAAAAATCATAAAATGATATGGCTCAACGTTATGCAAGTTATCCAAAGACCCGATTTTGATCAACAAAGTGTGTCCCAAACCCAAATGAATCTGAAAATAATTCGCGAGGCTCTTCGACCAATTCATCTTCAAGCTCTTCCGGTTCTTCTGGCTCTTCTGGTAAGATAAAAACAAAATAATTCTTGATAATCAATGCTTTGTATATTAGGGGGTTTGACTAACATTTTTTGATTGTAGGCTCGAGCCAAAGATCCGCAAATATCATTTCCGTAATCCGGGAACAATTTTCAGATATATTTGATAGGATTAAGGGTACAAATGATTATTATTTAGATCAGATGCGTGCTGTTGTATCAGTTGATATTCTTAGACTTGGGAGGGAGTAATTGGGAAAGATACGATAAAGGGTTTTTACCGTGGGGAAAATATAAAAAGCGAAAACTTAGAAAAAATAGGTGCTTGGATAGCAATCTGATATATCACTGAGTAGCGGGGAAGGAACTGCTATTACATGAGTTAGGGTTCGGCAGGCATTCATGCTTTATTCCTCCCTTGAAACAACCTGCTACTCTATTATTTTTTACTTTCATTTTTACTTAGCCGGCCGGCCCTTTACTTTGAATTTTTTAAATGTGTGTTACTTTGAATTGCAAAGGCGACGGTCAGTTGATACACATTCCGGAAAAATATAAATTTTATCATATATATATATATCAACAGGCAAAAACTAACCTACTATTATTGTCTACGCAAAAGTTAGTCGATATGTCTACTGTACTACTGTACTACTACTCTTTATAACGGTGAAATGCCTAGTACATTGCAGATGTACCCATGGTTCGCTGGGTTGATAAATACACAAATGTTGATACTACTAATGTTAGTGTTGGATGCTATAATAAATCCATTAGGAAATACGAAGACCTTGTGAAGATTATACAAAAAAAATTCCTGAATTTTAGCATTCTCAATATTATTGGAATACAAATAGCTTATCGCTATCTAGTTTTACTATTATCGTAAAAATTTTTGGTAATTCTATTGGAAAGATCTCAATAAAGGATTCCTCGTAAGCATCGATGCATTTATCGTAAAAGTATCCCTCAAGTTTTATGTTATGTCTGAAACTGATCCTAGAATGAAAGAGTCTACGAAATATTTATTCTGGATTTTGATATAAAAGGTTTATTATTGCCAACTATTCAACGATATGGAGTAAAGATAATTGATTTTTGATAAATTGTTTTTATATTGTTCCCTTTATCTTGTATGTCCTTCTATACTTTATTGTTCCCTTGAAACAACTACTCGTTTTATTTTTTCATTTTACTCAGCCGTCTGGCTTTCTTTTCATGTAACACTTTATAAAAAATTTAATAAAACCTTTTAAAACGTACATGTGTATACGATGCGCCCACTAACAAAAAAATGAGTTCATTTATTATAAACTTATTGAATTAGGGTGTTGCGCTGCTAGAAAAAATAAGTATTTTTAATCCGGAATATTGGCGTTTTTTCATATGTATATACATGAGAGCAGGGTTGGAAAATTTTTTCATACAGTTCCTCCTTAATGAGATATGTGATTCAGAACTCCAAAGCAGTGGAGAAACTAGCATACAATGCATGTGAGCATATAACTACATATAAATTCTCTTATCTGCAATACAGTATTCCCTATATCACTTCATTCCCCTAAATAAAAACGAATCACATAAGTGTAATTAAAGTTTTATATTTACTTGATTCCGTATAAATTTAGATCATGATATTTTCTCGCCATAAATCACTAAAATTTCTATAAATTTCTATAAATTGCTATAAATCTATAAATCATTAAATCGAAGCACAATATAACTAACTGTATTTATTATGTCAATCGGTGGTTTTACGGGTTATAATGGTACTTATGAGGAGTATACCAATATGCACCACATTAATGATGATGTTCTACCATCACTTTATCAGTGTTTTTTAAGACCAATGCTATACTAATAATTTATACACTGTTCCATAATAGTAAAAAATTGATGTCAACTTTATTATATATAATAAAATGATTTTTTTTTTCATTAGAGATCTTTGAATATATTGTTCGGCATAGCGTATCTTTTATCACCCTCGCCACAATGATCACGAAAGACCAATGCAGTCCTACTCTCGTATGCTATTTGCCAGCGTTCACAATAATCATCAAAAAACCTGATATATTTGCAACTGATCGTATCAGCTCGAAGATTATTAACAACCAAGGTGGATGAACTATTTGAACAAGAACAATTTGAACAACTAAAATTGTAATTTATAGAATAAGGAATAGCAAATTTTAATTAATCACAACGGAATATTCTCTAAATTCATCTAACCTGGTATTTATTGAATTCAATTTTGTTTCGAGTTCTTTAATCTTCTCGGCAATTGAGATTGATGCCTATTAAATAATTGATATCTCAGTTATCTTAATAGACGTGAAAAATAGATTCCGCATTGTGGTTTAACATTTACCTTATTATGCTGAACAATTACATGAACGCGTTCACCAGCAGGTTCGGGGAATTCCTTGCCAACCTTGTTCAATGGGAACAACTTTTCTCCAATTGTTTTGATGTCGGTGTCATTTTTGCAAATGAATTGGTTCAGCTCGTCAAGAGACGCATTAATTTTCCAGAGGCTAAGCTCATTTGCATCAACATCATTGAATGTGTTTTGCTTCTTCGTTTTGATAATTTCTTTAAGTTCGCTAATGGTCTCATCCTTATCAACCTTGACTGTAAAGGCATTTTCAATGGGGTCACCAAAAACAAGACAGGAAAGCCTAATAATACCTGACATTTTCGTATTCAAGGCAAGATACTAATAATAAAAATATTTAAACAATAATTTATATTCTGTTAATGACAAAAAAAAAATTCTAATGGCGTAAATTTATATAAAGTAAGAATTCTGAATGGCTTGTCTATTGTGTCTATTGTGTCTATTGTGATTATCTGTATGACACTGCATAACCATTAAGCGCTCTTTTGGGAAATAGACTTGGCGTAAATCAAACTACATGTGAAAAGCCTTTGTGCGAATTTTATAAAGAAAATTATCCAGAAAAAATATGATTATTTAAATGCAAAATGATCTTCTGACAATCTGTGTGACTTCAAAAAACACGGTGCATACCTTTTGATTCCAAGTCCCATTTTCAAGTTTCATGCACAAATTGATTTAGTGTGGATAAGCAAATTTTCTACATAAAAAGGGTTGCTGATATTCAGGTAAAAAAAATGCGCAAAGCTTCGTCTTCAAATGTCAAATTTTGGGACGATTATATACTCTTATACAATAACTAATAATACAGTGTTTCTCTCGCATTAATCTGATCTAGATGCGGTATGTCAGTAAAAATACCTAATAATTCGAGTACTCATGAAAATCTTGGCAATATGTGCAATCATCATAATCAGCATATGACCATTCTGAGAGATCCCAAGGTTCTGACCCCTTCCGAATTTGCTAGTAAATATGAAATTTCTTGTGATTTGGCGTATATAGAATACATCAAACTGCTTTTGTCTCCATTGAAACCTTTACCGATATACAGATAAAAAGCGAAGAGCGTCTTTTGTGTGAGTTTATTACAATGGAAAATTGTCTGGGACAATTGATGTCATCTACTTTGGGGATCTAATAATATTTTACAAGATCACATCATCTGATCCTCCTCAGAAGATTGATACATTTATGCGACCATACCTGAATAGAGAAGATCAGTACCATAACTATAATTTCTCATATATACGCTAATATGCCTCATATCATAATATCATATCCAGGATGGAGATTGATAGGTTTGGGTACAGTTTTATTATAAACTTCATCTATAATAATACTAATAGCTTCTCCGGGAATACTTATTAGTAAATTTATAGTGATATATACTGATTTATAGCGTTTTTAGTGAATTTTAGCGATTTATAACAGTTTATAACAAGTATATTATAATAAAATATCATATTCATTTTTATTCGATTACAAGCATATCGGGGTCATCTCTCGGCTAAGCTAATTTATTTACATGCAGTTTGTAGCATAACGTGTATCATATCACGGGTATCACCCTAGCTCTCACTCACGCCTCCCAGTCAGTTCCCCGCAACCTTCCCGCAACTCAAATCATGAGATGATCGAACCTGTAAAAAATTTAGACTATCACGCAAATCATACATCATTCCGATCATTCCGAGATTAAAAAAGGAGAAAAGCCCGATATGGGAAAGCTTTATTCATTTAATTGTTACAACTGCATCATGCTTTACAATGCCACATATGCGAAACTACATTCGAAAGCTAATAAAAGTCAAAAAAACAAGTGTTGAGGGTGTTCCGGCGCCGAAACCGTATCACGTGAATGTGGCGCGGTAAGGCTAAGGCTACCCCAAGCATAAACGAAATGGCCGGCATTACGCAACTTGACTGAAATTAAGTGTGGCGCACATGTAACGGATAGTGCGTGACGAGTAGGATTTTGTTACCAGATACTTATGAAAAATGGAAACAAGGAAGGGCGTGCCGCCGGTGATGAAAATCTCACGTGATTTTTCGTGACATTTTTTTCAGGTTACGCTGGGAAAATCGGCCACTAATCCTCGAAATTTTTTATGATGTACGCGACCTTACTTCTCGTTAGATCCGAAAAACTTGATACAGTGAAGGACTTGATCCCATTTTTTTCCGCATTATCAATCTCATTATAATTTATGGAATTGATTCGAAACTACTCCTTTTTCAATATGGAGGATTGCCTTCTTATTTTCGGATTCCTTAGAGTTTCGCTTTCGAATTCCTCGCCGGCTGATGGACATATAGGGCACATCTTACATGGATTATCGATATAATGCAATGTTTATATAACGGGCTTTGAAATTTCCGTAGTGATTTCTTCATATTTGTTAGTTTCTGAATTGACCACGAGAAAAGCAATACTGAAAAATTGGTCACTGCAAAAATTTCAAGTATCTCGACTATGATATTATAGATTTACTATGTGTTTTTTATTGTTGTTTCATAAACATTGAAATATTTCTTTGATTATATGTTACATTTCAAAGTAATTGAAAAAAGTAATTGAAAAAATAAGAGGAATACAGAATATGATATAATTGAAAAATTATGTGCAGTTACAAGTCCAGGCAATTGAAGTAGCAGACGTGCACGTTAGAGTACAACCAGTACATAAACTAGTGCAAATCGCATTAGTAGATCCGCTGCAATCCCATTGACTGATACTTGTGAAAGAATTTGAACTACAATCACCAATGCCACTTACTGGTGCACAGTGATCACAAGTAACAACAGCACGTTCAGCCAGATGATATGCTGAAGCAACGAAGAGAAAAATTGAGAGAACCGAGAAGAACTTAAGAATGTTAAGACCCATCGTAATCTAAAGGGAGTAAAAGATTAACAACATACGAATAGACGAAAACTATACAGACTGCAAAAAACCCTACATGTAAAATAAGTGAAAAGGCAAACTAATTGATTGTTAGTTAGGTTGAAAAGTGAAATAAAGGAAAGGTGGATTCGAATCATTTAAATATTGATTTTTAGAATTATAATGACACCAAAAGAAAGGATTTTTTCGTACATAACCAAATGATAACCCTTTTAAAGCAAAACCATAGTAAACTTGCAAAGAGACAAATGAATATTTATTTTTAGAAATATAAATGATACAAAAGAAGGGATTTTTTTCGTACATCACCAAATGATAACCCTTTTAAAGCAAAACCATAGTAAACAGACAAATGAATATTGATTGTTAGAAATATAAATGACACTAAAAGAAGGTTCTGTTTTCGTACATCACCAAATGAACCCTTTAAAGCTTCGACCCGGATGAAAACCGTCATCCGGATTACACAAAAAAATCCGGATTTTATCCGGATTGGATTTACAACTGATCGGCAATAATTCTGGCCAGAATTCATAACGCCGGCCAGAATTACAAATTTGTGTAACATTAAATTTTCGTGCTACTATGCTTAGCCGGCTAAACTATTTTTCCCGGTATCACGTGATATTAATTTCGGCTAGAATTACAAATTTGGCCAAAATTATCTAAAGATCACGAAATATTATTCAATACTTTTTTTTTAAAACCAATTTCATATTATTTTAGCATTGTCTCAGATTATTGTTTAACATTTCTTTATAAATTAACTAATTATGAAATTTTGGATAAACAAGATATTTTTATATATAGCTAAAGATTACTACAGTTAAAGCTCATTATAGTAAATCTCATTATAGTGAACATTAAGTAAAATTGCATTATAGTGACCTATTGATTTTTTTCTTTATAATTAATTTCTTTTGATATCTTAATAAATCTCATTTTAGTGAATAAAAGGAAAAAAATTACATAGTGAAACAGAAAGTTCACTATAACGAGCTTTAACTGTATTCCAGTAAGAAAAATTATATACTGAAAATATAATAAAGTTTAATAAATGTATTATTTAAATGTATAAAATTAATTTTAACCTGGGGTGATTTAACCTAAGTGATTTAACCTACTAATAAATTTTATATAATTATATAAATTATTCACTTCTATCATATAATAAATTTGATTAGATTGACTAATATTTATAGTTACACTATTTGTACTATCTAAAGCTTTGCATGAGCCGGTTTGAGCCAAGTTAAGGTCTGGCTTGAGCTTGGCTTGAAAAAATGTACTGAGCCAAGCCGAGCTGAGCCACAAATTTCCTATGGCTCAGCTTGATATAAGCCAAGCTATAATAATTCTTAACTTGAAACAAATGAGCTGAACTGAACTTTAATAAATTTTGGCTCGAGCCAAGTTGAGCTCGAACTACTATTTTGTTTTACTATCGTATAATTTGTATAATTGTATTTATAATTAATATAATCATGTAGAATATTTTTATTTATTTTTTATTTATTTATTTATTCAATTTTTATTTATTTATTGATTTAATTTAATTTAAAATCTAATTTAATTAATAAATTATAATTACCAGTACATACGCGGCACACATTTTTTTTAACTTCATTTATTTGTTAATTAATTTCATTTCTGTCTAACCCTTTCCGTTATTCAGACTTCTATTATGAGCAATTATCAAGTCTACTATTTTACTTTATCATTAAATTTTACCCTTCCTACCTTTCATACATAATTACTGCTTCAGAATGTCCAACAAGCAACCAAAACCTAGTTATCTCCAAGTTCGTCTAATGAGTCTGGCAACCTAAAGAAAATAGTAGAAACGTTAGTACGTTTCTTTTATATATTAAAAAAATTACTCTCCAATTCCCGTCAACATATACTTGCACACATTCCAAATCTGGACTTTCCAAATCTAAAAAAAAAAAGAATCAAAATGTTAGTAACGTTTCGTTAAATAATTATAAAAAAAAAATTATTTTGATTACCTTCAAACATTAGAAGCCAGTCCGTTCTTACAAAAAAAGAAAAGAAAAGAACGCTAGTTAATGTTCTTGTAGTTCTTGTATTGAAAACTCCACCCTTTCCTCACATTACCTCAAAAAGCCATGTGCTGAAAGATTCGTTCCTACAAAAAAGAAAAGAAAAGAAGTTAATGTTCTTATATTAAAAGAATTATTAATACAACACTTTTCTCTATAACTTACCATTTTACGAATTTCAAGTCCAAAAGCTGTACCTAAAAAAAAAATAAAATAAAAAATTCAATGGTATAATAAGACTGTTTGGACAAAAAAAAAAGTTTTTTAAATAAAATGAATAACGGTTTTTATAACCCATTTTTTTTAATAAAAATTGATTATCGATCGGTAAATTGAATTGATAAGTCACATGTACAGTCAAACCTTTATATAATGATATGTCGGGACATATATGAAATTTTTAGAAAATATTGTTATATCAAAGTTATACCGATATTTATATGTTCTCATATATAGTGGGAAAATAAAATTTTATCAGTATATCAAGTTTTTAATAGTATATTGGTATATCGAATATCGGTATATCAAGGTTAGACTGTAATATTAATTTTGACTGTCTGTGACCTAAAGTTGAAATTAATTTTGATTATTTCAACTATTTTAGAGGTCGAAATTAACCAAAGAAAAAAAAATTCTTTTATTTTGCTTGACTAAAGATTTTATAAAAATGGCTTTTTTAATATTTAACTTTTTGTAAATAGATTATCAACTGATCGGTGTGAAAAGTAATTGTACTAAACTAATTTTGGTAGCTAAACCAATTTTAGCTAAACCAATTTTATTAATTTATCAAGTCTTAATTATTTAAAAGTAGTTATCATCTGTATGAAAAAAAAAATTCGAGTTGATAATTTCAGTTATCATTCATGCCAAATAATCCAACTTAAGTCATTCTTTTACATTTTGTTCTTTGTTCTTTTTTGACGGCTTTCTCTGAAGATAAAAAGATTTATATATCTGAATAATGACTAACTCTTCTTCATCTATTCCCGTTCCCACTCCTATTGTTGAACTTGAAGAGGATACTAATTCTTCTTCAAGCAGCAAAAAATCCCTTGTTTATCAATTTTTTACTTATAAGTCTTCAAGATATTATTGCACCTATTGTCCTAGTAAGAGTTTTTCAGACAAATCAACTTCTACATTATGGCGTCATATGAATAATCACCATCCAAAAATTGTTGCTGAAACTCAAAAACAAGAAGAAAAAATCGGTGAAATAGATAAGTTTATAATTTCTAATCAAAAAGAAAATGTAAGTTTAATATTTATTTAATACCATATTAAAGATTCTTATTATTAATATATCAATATAATTATATCATTTTTTTTTAACTTAGCCAAAAAGAATATAGAAAAAGATTGATTCATTGGGTAGTTAATAATAATCAACCATTTAATGTGACTGAAAATAGGGAATTTCAAGACATGATGACATTTATTCAACTAGGCATGCACATTTTCTCTGCTGATACTGTACGACGAGATTTAGATGAAAGCTTTAAAACTGCAAAAAATGTATTTAGACAACAACTGCAGGTTAATAACTAATGTTTATATATAATGATTTTATATTATATAGGTATTAAATCAATCCAAATCAAAACTGAATAATAGGAAGCACCCAGTCACTTATCTTTTACAGTAGACGTTTGGACTAGCAAGAACTAAATTCCATTTCTTGGGATAAGTGTTCACTGGATAAATAACAAATAGAAATTAAAATATACTACATTGGATTTTTGTATTTTATCAGGATCCCATACTGGAGTTAATTTATTACAAAGATTTTTAGAAGTCCTTCAAGAGTTTGATATAACAACAAAAGTAAATGTTTAATTTATTTAATTGTTTATTTACAATTTATGTTTTTTTTCATAATTAACTAATAACTGTTTATTCTGTATCTGGCAAGAATTAGCCCAAAACTGAAAGATCACAGTCCTACGCAAGATAAACCAGTCCATTTTTTGGAATGTAGGACTGGTATAACCGCAATCTTCTAAGATCGGTATCATCCTTATTTCAATATCATTCAGAAATAACAAAATAACAATTTATATTAAATTCTCAGTTAGATATGATTCATGATATTTTAGTTTTAGATTACCATATAACTTATGTTCACAATTATGTACTATTATACTATCAAATAATAGAAAAGTTTATTAAAAATATAAGAAATAGATTATTTAATTTCCATCTAAGGTTCCATTAGTAAAAGTTATATTTAATGAAAATACATATGGCAAGCAGAAAGAGATTTATTTAAAGTATATATAGAGGTATTAGTTATATAAAACAGTTTGTATACAAAGGAAAAAACTTTATGAAAGATATAAAGGTAATGGATTGATATAATACTAAGTAATCTATTCAGAATATAAAGAAGTAGAATTAAATAATTCTAATATAAAGAAAGTGGATCTATTCATGAAGAGATAAGTTAGAGGTATAGCTAATAATATAAAAAAGTGGAAACTATTTAATAATAGTGATATTTTAGTAGTCTTCTATCTAGAGAATGGAATCGATTCTAGTAAAATCAAATTAATCAAAAATCGAATCTAAATTGATTAATCAAAAATTGAATTAAAAAATCGAATTTTTTATTGTGATACAGTAATTCAATTTTTTTTAGCATTTAATATTTTATTGAAATAATTTTTAATTAATTAATTTATTTTTTATTATTTTATATAATTATTACATAGTAAATTAATTTATATATAAAATAAATAGGGCATTGCTAATACCTAGAAATATATATATAAAGATCAGGTGGCAAAAATTTTTTTTACTATGAGCTGTACGTAAAGACTTTTTATATGAGTAGAGTAGGGCAATCTTGGGGGTTCTGGGACAGCGGCTATCACATAGGTCTAACCATAATTTAGTGTACTCCCAGACCACCTAGCCTTGTTTTCTGATATGATAACACTATACCTGTTTTTCTATC